GCTAAACATTGGATCTACCATCTTGATCCAGCAATACCACTCTTGGGGCTATACCCCAAGCACTGTAACAGGTTACTCCAGAGGCACCTGCACACCATGTTTATTGCGGCACTATTGCACAATAGCCAAGTTATGGAAACAGCCAAGATGCCCCCACTAGACGAATGGATTAAGAAAAATGTGGTATCTATACACAATGGAATTCTATGCAGCCATGAAGAAAAACTGAAATGTTATCATTCGCTGGTAAATGGATGGAATTGGAGAACATCATTCTGAGTGAGGTTAGCCTGGCCAGAAGACCAAAAATCGTATTTCTCATATGTGGACATTAGATCAAGGGCAAACACAACCAGGGGATTGGACTTTGAGCACATGATAAAAAGCGAGAGCACACAAGGGAGGGGGAGAGGATAAAGACACCTAAAAAACTAGCTAGCATTTGTTGCCCCTTAATGCAGAGAAACTAAAGCAGATACCTTAAAAGCAACTGAGGCCAATAGAAAAGGGGACAGGAACTAGAGAAAAGTTGAACAAAAAGAATTAACCTAGAAGGTAACACACACGCACAGGAAATAATGTGAGTCAACCTCCTGTATAGCTATTCTTATCTCAACCAGGAAAACACTTGTCCTTCCTATTATTGCTTATACTCTCTCTTCAACCAAATTAAAATAAGGGCAAAACAGTTTCTGCTGGGTATTGAGGGGGTTGGGGGGAGAGGGAGGAGGTGGAGTGGGTGGTAAGGGAGGGGTGGGGGCAGGAGGGAGAAATGACCCAAGCCTTGTATGCACATATGAATAATAAAACAATAAAAAATAAATAAATAAATAAAAATAAATAAATTTCAAAAAAAAAAATTTGGGTGATGAAGGAGAATGGTAGAGGGGATGAATTCAAGTATGATATATTTGATATATTGCAAGAACTTTTAAAAATGCCACAATGTGCCCCTATCCAGTACAGCAATTAAAAGAATAAATAAATAAAATTTGGCAGTGGAACATTAACTAAGATCTTATTGGCAATTAGAGTTAAAATGCTCAGATTCTAGCCCTTGGGCTTCTTAGATCATTAACAGACTACACTACCTTAGGAAATCTTTTGGGCTTTTTGGGGTGCATGGATTGAATCCAGGGCCTTATCACTGAGATAAACCCTAACCTCTATCTTGGGAAATCTTTTAAATTGCTTAGTAATAGAGTGGTCTTGAAAAAAAGGAAAAAAGAGAATGAAAATGAAAATTTCTTACTAGAAGTTGACTATAAATGGTCCAGTGGGTACTGTTGTCTCGAAACTAAAACTACCAACATAAACAGTTAAGTATTCGGACTAATGTAATTCTAAAGCTTAGCTTTTATTTTCCTTTGCTATAGTTTACATGCAGTTCTTTTACTAGTTTTAAAATTATTCAATAATATATGAAATAGCACTGGCTAATATAACTGCAAAAGCTAAGTATGTACCATATTAATTTTAGTATCATACCTAGCATGCCAATTATTTTTAATCTTACAAACAACTAAATAGTTGTAACAAAATAAACACTAAAAATATTATTTCTCTTTAGGGAAGTGAACTGAAAGTATTTTTAAGTTAGGAAAGTCTTATAATTACTTACAGTTTGTATTACATTTCTCATTAGATGCACTTGATTATAATTACACTCACAGCTGAAAGAACTATTCAAGAGTCTAAACCTCACCTAATTATATTATGTGTCCATCAAGCTCAGATTTTCTATATTTAGGTAATATCTTGTTCATATTTGTGTCCTTGGCACAGTCTGGCCTATTATAAGCTAATGATTAACGATTATTGAACGAATTACTAAAGAAGACAAAGTGATTTAAATTATCTTGATAAAATTCAAGTTAAAGTAAAACATTCTATAGTTTCTCCCACAAGTCTGTATGTACACATACATATTTTTCTTCTCTGCTTTCTTTAATCCTCTTCAAAATCTACTTTCTAGAAAGTTTCCTGCATGCCTGTTCTCAACTTATGAGGGTAGCTTCTCTTATTTTCTAAAAATAGATGTTTCAATCATTCACTACATAGTAATTTATAGCATGTGTCATAGCAGGGGATGCCTTATAAATATTAGCTTTCAAAGACAATTTGTTAAATACAAAGTAATAACTGTCTCTAAAAACCTATAGAGCTTTTCTTTAAGAGAAAAAAGGCAATGAAAGTCAATATTATATTTAAAACGTATTACAAATATATCTAATGTAAAATACTTGAAATACTGTTAAGTTATTCTAATTCCTTAATATATTTTCCTTTCCATCTATATTCAGTAAAATAAACACAGTTCTAAATATCTCACCTGGAGGTTGCTGAGGCCAAAAGTACTGCTGCCAATCCTGAAGCACATAGGTAAATCTAATAGCAATACTAACTGGAGGCAACGGAGTTAAAGGACATCCCTAGAAAAATAAACACAAAAACAATACCATATAAATGCTAATACCTTGGTCTAATAAATTCAACATCAAAATTTCAAACTTAATGAACAGATGAAATACTACTCATGAAATCTGGATTTTTCAGTTTAGACAACATTGTGCATAGTCTAGCCAGAAAGAAACTGGTTATTAGGTACAAAATTTAGGAAATCAAGAGGGAAGAGCCCATTATAAGGGACAGTACTGGAAAATGTTAGACCACATTTTAAAAACTGGAAAAGTAAACTCTCCAAAGAATCAGTACATAGTTGGTGATGGTATGTATAAGGGATTTCTACAGGTTCTACATACTGTTTCCACAAATGTTTTCACTTGATGAAAGGATTGTGCAGTGATAGATAGACAGAAAGATAGAAAGAAATTTTAAAAATTAAGCTTTAAGCCACATGTGGTGGTATGCATCTATATTCTCAGCCACTCTTCTATGTAGCTCAATTCTCTATTTTGGTGAGACTTATATTTTGAAAGGACTATCATGATCTGTCCAACCTAACTTAGATTTTGACCATTTACTAGTAGTACTTTAAAAATAAAGTGTTCCTGTTTAGTTTATCACATTTGTTAACCCATTAAAATTTTAACAAACTCAGCTCTCTGACATGAAATTTCTCACAAAACTCACTTACGAAGAATTGAACTCAAAAAAATTGAGACAGAGTTAAAGACTTTTACATAGTTCAAGCCACCCAGTATGTGACACTTTTCTATTATCTTTATAAAACCGTCTTTATGAAAATTACTTGCTAACATCTATTTCTGTGCCCCAGGTACTTGCCTTTCACTGGTAGTTTATTTCAATTTATAGAGATCTAGTTGTTAGAAAAGGCTATCTTTTCAGGGGTCCAATTTCGCCATTTGTAGTCATATATAATACAAATATAAATCCTTTTCTGCTATACTACTAAATATTTAAAAACTCTTTCACACCTTAGTCATCTTTCCTTTTTCAATTTAAATATTCTTAGTTGTATCAGATTCTTTATCATGATTTTATGATCTGATGGTTGGTTTGGATATTTGTCTCTTTTAGAACTATACTTTTTCATGCTTTCAGATGTTGTTTGCAGGTTCTTTATATTTGTTTGTTTGGGTAGGACTGGGATTTGAACTCAGGGCTTCATGCTTTGCAGGCTCTTTATGAGTAAGAGTTTTATTTTAAAATTTTAACTTTCTCTTCTGTGTATCATCTCTAGTGGTTATACAAACTTACAGTTGCTTCCTACCTACAGAACATTTCTGAACTAATCTTAAAATGGTATTTGGAGCTTCTCGCTCTGGGGTGATATTAGGGGTATTGCCTATCTAGTCTTAGACTTTTGAGTTGTGTACTCATGATGTGAGAGTGACAATTTTCTCCACTCACCCAATAACTTCTCCTAGATAAGCAAAGTGCTCTGTCCCAGTGTCTGACTTAAGCAGAAAGGAATGCAATACCCTCACTCTGGGTGGAGTCCTTTGGTTCCTCCTATTTAATCCAAGGCTCTCACTGCCTTCTTTGACATCGGGAGCTCAGGAGGCATGTGCCTTAAGCCCAAAGTATCCTTTTGGGTTTTCTGTGCCTATTCTGGACACACAAATATATCTATGTCCTGTTTGAGCCTAGCTGTTTCTTTTCAGATCTCTTTCTGTATTTTTCTACATTGCTTTGTGACTGGAGCAGAGGTTGACAAAGTGACCTTGTTATGGTTTCTAGATAATTTGCACCTTATAATGGGTGAATGTTCATTTGATGTCTGGACCTGACTAAAATAGGATATATATATCCTGATCAGTCAAAATCTTATCTTGCTGTCTCTCTAGGACACAGCAACCTAAAAGTGAATTCATTTTGGGGGGTAGCCACCTTATATTGTGACTTCAGAGTAAGTCTGTATTCAGTTCTAGTGACATTTATAGGTGCTACTGCTGAGTTAAATGTCACTTGTTCCTTACTACTCAAAATGTAGTAGTCTCCTGACCAGCAATGTCAACATCTGCAAACTGGTTAGATATGGGGAACAGTATTAAATTTCCACTTTCACAAGTCCCCTAGGTGATTCCTGTACCTAATGAAGTCTTATTTCACTGAATATAGGTGAAGCATTATGAAGGAGGGCTGAGATCATAGATGTTTAGATAACAGTATTAGTTTTTATGATTTCCAGTGAACTTATATAGATACATTTAGGTCTATTTTGTTAACTGACTCATTAACCTATTTTGCATGAATGACCATTTGTTTGTTATAGTCTAATATTTCAAGGCTGGCTTTGAGTTCATTTTCAGTTAAAAGAGACATATCATCTCCTCAAACCTAGTGTTACACTTTATAAGAGTTTCACCTTATTTAAAAAGCAGATCACTTTTTTCCCCACATTCAATGCCTGAAACAAATAGTAAAAAATTATATAATGAAGCTGTAAAAGTTACTGTAAAAGATTATTGCTTAATAGAATTTAGTATTTTCTTTACTGGTAGAAGTGTAAGGAACTTTATTTTAAAGTAATTTTCTCCCTGCCATTGTTTTTAAAGCTTTTTTTTGGTGTTGTTAGTTTTTGTTTGTTTTGGTGGTACTGGGATTTGAACTCAGGGCTTCATGCTTGCCTAGGCAGGCACTCTACCACTTGAGACAAGCTTTTTTGGTTTGTTTTTGAGATGGGATTTTACAGCATTGCCTGAGCTGGCCTTGAACTCCTGAATTCAAGTGCCCCCTTTCTCAAAAATTTTCCCAACTAATACATATTGGATTAAGTTGTATTTATGGATTTCAAAGCCCAGAGAGTTATTGAAAAGAATAGAATACATGAAATGCTCTTATACATGCTTCCATGATTTTTTTTAAGTGGAGATAATCACAAGAAACAAATAGTTACTCTGATAAAAGAGAAAGAGGAGTAAAAGGAAGGCTTTACTTAAATTTCCTAACCTGGTGCATGGCCCTTTTTAAATGTCAGATTTATCTGAACAGTGATAATCCTACCAATACATTGTTTAAGGCTTCTATACTGAAAAATATCATCTCCCCTTCCTCTTTTCGTTCTTTTATTTCCAGTGCTGTGGATGGAGCCCAGGGCCTTGTGCATGCTATGCACTCTACCTGCCACTAAGCTGTATCCCTGGCTCTGTAATTTTCCGATTAAGTTTTAATTCTAAATGTCTTTCTAATAAACAATACCTATTAAAAAGAATTTGAACAGTGTGGTGGTATTTGATGGTGCTCAGTAGACAGAGACAGGAGGGTCTTGGTTCAAAGCCAGTAGGGCAAGTTAGTGGCAGAACAATCTGGGGAAAAAAACACAACAAAACAATACAAAACAAAAAGATTTGTCTAGCAAGCACAAGGCTCTGAATTCAATCCCTGGTACCACAAAAAAAGGAAAAAAAGAAAAAGATTTGAGCATTTTTTCCTTTTTAAAATTCTAAAACCTTCAGAAAGGCTGGAAAACTATGCATGACTTTTACCAAGTCCATCAATTAACATTTTACCAATATATACCATACCATACCAAGTTGTAAACATCAACACAGTTTGCCCCTGAATAATTCAGAGTGTACTTTCTAAGAACAAGGTTTCTATCCTATACAACCATAGTATAGTTATCATACTCAAGACGTTTAACGTTGATACTATTTTCTAATACTCAGTCCAATTAAAACTATCCTAATTATCTCAAATCAGGTCCTTAATGGCTATTCTGTTTTTGATCAAGTATCCAAAAATGGATCATGTATTGCATTTAGTTGTCATGTTTCACTAATCACTTTTTAATCCAAACAGTTCCCAGCCTTTGTTTTGCCTATCATCACAATAAGACTTTGAAAAGTCCAGGCCAGATACTTTGTAAAATACGGTCACTTGGAAACGTATGATTGTTTTCTCACATTGTAATTTATGTAAAACATTTTGGCAGAATGCCACATAGATGATGATATAATTTCTTTGGTGTATCATATCAGGAGATATATGATGTCAGTTGGTAGCTTTTGTTTTTAATTGACTTTTTAACTGATACATAAAAATATAAATTTTATTTATTTGATATCGCTTTGTAAATCAAGTTTGATCACTTACGTGAGATAGTGTCTATTTTAGCACTCAAAATCTAAATTTTTCCCCAAGAGTAAGATAGGCAAGTCCTCCATACCTCTGTGACAGTGTTCTTATAGAACAAAGATATATCCCATTTAGCCCTGTGGCTTAAGAAATTAAACATAAAAAAATCAAATCAGATGAAAACTTGAAAAAGGGGAGAGGGAGCAATTCAGAACCCAAAAGGTTCAGACCTTAAGAAGCTCCTAGACAATGCCCCAAACAAGCAGCCACCTGAAGCCCATCAAACTGGGGAAACTGGCAATATTACTCTTAGAGAAGGAATAAAACACAGTCCATAAATGTTTACAGACTAAACAAACAAAATATTTCTGCTTCTAATTGAGTATTGTTTCTTCAAACATAGTTAATTACACTTTTCTTTTAATTAATTACGTGAGGGTGCGGTACTGGGGTTTGAACTCAGGCCTTGTGTGCAAGCACTCTACAACTTGAGCCATGCTCTCAGCCCTTTTTGGTTTAGTTGTTTTTCAGACAGGATCACTTTTTGTCTAGGCTACCCTCAAACCATGACCCAACCAATCTTTGCCTTCTGAATAGATGGGATTATAACAGGCACACCCCACTACTCATGGCCCTTAATTACATTATTGACACTAAAGAGAAATTCTTTACGCTCAAATTACCAAGTCACTGGTTTTATCTGGACCCCAAATAGGTTTGACAATATTAATGCCAACTCACAATCTTTGATTTGAAGATATCCAGCAGACCAGATAAATGAGTGTACTGATTTGGCACTTTCCGAAGATGAACCATTTCAAAATCAGTTCGGACACCTGGACCCTGACATTCTCCCACATACATTCTTCGCCATTTATGATGAATTTGCACAAAGAGTGGTACCTGACTGCAGGACATGATTAAAAAGGAGTAGAATGTGAGTTCATTAAATACCGAATAACCTAAAACCTCAAAATTTTCCCGTATTTTAATCTCAAATATTTAAAAGTACCAAATGAGGGATACTTCCCAAACACAGATTCTCAATTACAACAAAGATATTCTTAATTTCTTTTCTCCTTATGCTAATAAACTGAGGAAACTACAATCCAGTGGCACTTTAGTCAGAAAATTGTTTAAAAATATGTAAAAGTCATAAAACAGCAGAATAAAAATTTTTCTTAAGTAACAATGGTTGTACACATTAGTCTTTCCAAATTCATAATAAAACCTGATTCACAAGCATTAAACAATACAAAATGAAACCAACGCTGTGGTGGAATAATATTTCTCACTTTATCATTTAAAGATAGAGTTGATCCTCACTATTCACAGATCTCCAAATTAGCCTGCTCACTAAAATTTATTTGTAATTCACAAGTCAATATTTCTAGCACTTTGAGTCATTTCCAGACATGCAGAATCACAACATTTGAACCACCCAACATGCATGTTCCTACATGAATTCAAATCATGAAATGTTCTGCCTGCCTTATTTCAATTCTCAGCCTATAAACAAGTATCCTTTTTCATGATCTATTAGTGCTACTTTCTGTCATTTTTTGTGTGTGTTTGCTTTTTGTTTGGTGATTTCACTTACAAATGGCTCCCAAGCATAGTTCTGAAGATAGTGTTCCTGAGTGCAAGAAGATGTCTTTTAGGCAATCCTAGTAAGTCAGCAAAATGTATTAAATAAAGTATCTTTAAACAGAAACACAAAAAAGGTCATGTATTAACTGGCTCACAAAAATGTGACCAGAGACTCACAAGACCTCACCCTGAATTTCCCCTAGGAGCAATGGTTCAGAATTTGTTAATCTGTGTTTGTGGTAATTTTATGGAGCACAACTATCTCCAATAACAAGAATGGGCTATATGAATACAAATTAAAATTGCTACATTAGTAAATAGTCTAACTATTCTTTTATTTTAAAAAAAGTTCAAATTATTCACTTAGGATACACTACAAAGTACAGGATGCAGTTTGTCCACTATAATACATTTTTCCCTAGTAAATTTATATTTGGTCTTTTAGTCTATGCGATATGTAAATGAACTATAACTCAAAATACAAAATAGTGAGGAAGTAAATTTCACACTCTTAAATACTTCCATTTAAGAATAGGGCCTGTAAGTACTTAAAAGGTAATTACAAAAAATGTCTAAAATTCTTGAAGACTGAGCTGTCAGTATGGCACAAGTGGTAGATCACCAGTCTATCAAGGCCCTGTGGAGTTCAAAACCTAGTACTGCCAACAAAACAAAAATAAAAATAAAATGTAATTCCTGAGGTTCAAAAATTATTGTCATACAGTTTAATAAAGTAAAATTTTAAGACAAAACACAAAAATAGAACAGTTCATAGTCTTCATTTTAAATATACACTGAATATTTCAATATTCTCATTAGAAATTACCTCCAAAACAGGTTCTGAATGGGGGGAGGTGGGGGGAGGGGGGAGGTGGCCCAAATAACATATACACATGTAAGTAAACGTAAAAACAATAAAACTTAACAGAAATTATCTCCAAAAAAGGTTTTATTAATTTTGTCCTTACATGCCAAATTTAAATAAAATAATATTCAGGTATATGTAACTAAATTCCTCCTTATAGCCAAAATGCAACATTTAGTAATCATTTATGTTCATTTATTACCACTAAAAATAATTTTTAGCTGATTGTGCACTTACCACCCAGTGTTTCCCAAAGCAATAGAAACAGAACTAAGAAGAAGGTTGCATTTGGATTCACTGAGCACAGCATCACAATGTGCAGCAGGAGCAATCACCACAAACTCACGCAGGCCATACCTTAAAGAAAGAATGATTGCATTAAATGAAAATTTTAGGATACAAATTCATTATGTGAAAAAAATGAAAAATTTCCCCAACTACAAGTCAGCCAATGGGAATTGCACATACCAACCACCCCAATTTTCTTCTTTCTCTCTTTTCCTCTTTTTTTTTTGTTTTTACCCCAACTGCCAGGGATGAAATCCAGAGCCTCATGAGGACTACACAACTGCTCTGCATCCCCAGCCCGAATTTTCTTTAAGAATTACGTCCATTATTCACTTCCCCTCTATTCTTTACAAGTTAGAAGTTTTCTGAAATAACAAAGAAAAGACCATAAAGAATGTATTTGCCTTAAAAGTTAAGTTTACAACATTAAAGAAGAAAGCCAGCACTGAAACCATGCTTTAAATAACTGACAGCATTGTACCCATCAGTGTGAAAAGGAAAGTTTGATAGATCACCTAAATGACAGGGAAATAATTATCAGCCATGATATACATGTGCTGTCTAAAAATAGTACCCAGTTACTCAGTATATAATAAAAGACTTCTTATATTCTTGTACTCAACAACACCTGTTAGACAGGAGTCACAAAATAATGAGAAAACCACTTATTCTTGCTATCTACATTAGTGAAAACTCCTCATGCCGTTGCCAAATCATTTAAAACCATAAATTTGCGGCCAAACTTTAAAAGTTATAGGTCAAGTTGGTAATTGATCTTGCCTACTGAAAATTCATCTCCTAGCCACTCCTCAATTTATCTTTTAAAAACGTTTGAAATGAAGAAAATAATTTATGAGAGGTATTTTTCTTTTCCCTAATTTATTAATCTCTGAATATGTAGTTATAAATGCTAATTTTAATTAATATCTCAAGAAACTCCCTGAGTAGCAGAAAATAAAAAGTTTAAATATAAAAGTCTATTTCATGATCTATTTATTGTACAGATGGTGCTATGATTTTGATGTAGTCTGAAGGTATCCCCCAAAGGTTCATGTGTTGGGAGCTTGGCCACAGTGTGATAATATGGAGAGGTGGTGGAATCTTTAAGAGGCAGGGCTTAGCGGGAGGTTACAAACTGGCCCCTTCCTCTTGCTCTAGCTTCCCCTCTCACCATGCGATCATTCCCTCTCACACCCACTCCTATCATTACAGTAATACCTCCATGAGATGATGTGGACAAAGGGGGTCTTCATCAGAGCAGGCATTATGTTTGCTTGGACTTTTAGTCCCTAGAACCATGAGCCAAATAAACCTCTTTCTTTATAAACCCTTACACTCAGGTATTTTATTACGTTAATGAAAAATGGACTATGTAGATGACAAAAACTTATTTCACCTCCTCAGCTTACCTCCATTCTCCTATCCCTAAAATCTAAAGTATATATAGGCAGCAACAAATAAGTTTAAGAACACAGAACTGTGAATTTTAAGCTATAAAGATCTATAAAAAAATAGTTTTTTTTATTATCACTGAAAGAAAAAGAAGTGAACATTCCCCCATCCGTTCCCCACAGTGGTATGAAACCAGTGTTAACAGTTCATACAGAAATGTTCCATCTGTTCATGATCACCCAATGTCCAAATAAGATTATACTACATATGCTTTCTCTACCTTCTTTTCATAGGTCAATCCCTCTATTGATCAGTATTCTGCTTCCAGTTTTATGCTGTTGCAATAATACTTCAATGGGCAAATTCTACACCTTTATGTATATAATAAATTCCCAGAAGTTAAGTTCCTGCATACAAGAGTGTTTGCATATTCCCCACCCCAATCGCTGAATATTTAAATTTAATTTTTTGAACGATTATCTCAAATACCACCCCATCATCCCCATTAAATGTATTCTCTTCTTTGAATTTTAACCTCTTTTCTTATATTATGATCTTTAAAGTGTCAATAAGTCACTGATTTACTTTTCTTACTAGTACTTTCCTTATTTGAGAACTGAAATTATACCTTCATCAAGTCAACAAACATTAGTAGGGGTGAAAAAAAAGAGCAAAATTCAACAATAACAAAAAGCAAACAATCAGATTTTAAACTGGACAAAATACTTGAACAGATATTACCCCAAAGAAGATACACAAATGGCAAGCCCATGAAAAAAAATGTTCAGCATTAATAATTACTAGTGGGAATGCAAATAAAAGCCACTATAAGATACTAATGCAGGCTAGGTTAGGGATAGTCTGGGACTACACCTCCTCTTGACTCAAGCACTCCTCCCCTTTCCACAGGTGAAAGGAACCAGGTGATGATGTATTGTCTCCCCACCTCCAAGTTCAAGGTGGTATAAAAACGACCTACAAAGAAATGTGGGCCCTTTTTCTTCCTTACCCTCACCTAGGAGAAAGGGTGACTCCCCTTCCCTCAATAAAGCTATTCTACCTCACCCCATCCACATGTTATGTTTGGATTCTTCTATTCGGAGCACAAAGACCAAGATGTTCTGAGAACAACGATTGCCAGTAATATTTGTGGTGACGCCAGCCAGGAGCAACTGAGGGGTGAGATCCTAATATGCTATCTCTGCTATCCTTTTTATTTCAATCCATCTATCTCTGTCTTCTGGTCCCACACCTCACCACCTGATGTTTTGGAACCAAACACCACTCACAGCTTGAGTATATAGGATCCTCATGTTGGGACATTTGCCCAATGCTTGGGGACTTGTTCAGAGCTCCAGCGCAGATGGACCACACCCTGATTGGCAGGATGCAAAACTTGCCTGCAGGACTCAGGAGCTTCCACAAGCACCCCAAGGCACAGGGTTCATGTCTGATTTCTCTGGCCCTGCCCTGGGGGGTGCACTACACTAAAACTAAGGTGCCCGTTCCCTAACCCTTAATCCCCCTCCCTCATCCATTCCTTTGCCATGCTGTGGGAAATCATACTCCAAGGTCACTAAGGTCAAAGTTTAAGGTGCTAATGTGTGTTCAAAAGAATAGATTTCTATTTTATCAAAATAACTATCTTTTAGTACTACAGGCTGATACAAAATCTTACCAAAACCAAAAAAAAAGCTTGCCCTCCAGATGGGATAATAGAACCTTAAGTTTTTAAAAGTCTACAAAAAGGTAATTAATCCAAAATCACTAAATTACACACATCATTAACTCTCTAATTTGACTAACACCTGCCTGTGGTACACCTGGCCCCTAATGTAATCAGCCCTTAACTGCCCACTAAAATAACAGTCCAAAATAGAGGGCCATCTGAGGGTTAAAATAGCTACAGATAGAAACACTTGCAGGCAAAGTAACCATAAGATACTGTCACTTTTCAAAATTATTCCCCCTGCCATACCCAGCAGGGCCCCTTCTCATACTCCTATCATTCTTGATGTTCAGATCATGCCTTCTAAACCAGATTTCTCTCTCCCAGGATAAGTGTCTTTAAAAACCCAAACCATCAACTTCTGGAGGTGGATGAGATACCCATGAACAATCTTGGTCAGGCTAGACAGCAAATGTCACCATTCAAGTCCCTAGGGACAGTGATAGGAAAGGGGCAATATTCCTAGTAGGTGGGGTCTCCAGCCCCTTGTCAGCTTGAAGTAGCTACAGAAGATGAACCACCCTCTTCAGCAACCCCAAAAAAGAATTTTTGGAATACTGTCCCTCAATTTGAGGCAGGCTAGGTTAGGGATAGTCTGGGACTGCACTTCCTCCTGTCTCAAGGACTCCTCCCACTAGCCCACAGGTAAGAGGAGCCAGCTGATGACATATTGTCTCCCTACCTCCAAATTCAAGGTGGTATAAAAACTACCTACCAAGAGACCCTGGCCCTTCTTCCTCCCTACTATCACTTGGCGAGTGACTCCCCTTCCCTCAATAAAGCTGTTCTACCTCACCCCATCCACATGTTCTGCTTGTATTCTTCCAGACACAGAACTTATACCTAAAAAAACCAAACCAAAAAAACCAAAAAATCTCATAGTAGATTATAGACTTAACTGTAAAACACAAAACTATAAAATTCTAGAAGATAACAAAAAAAAACCTAGATGACCTTGACTTTGTTGATGACTTTTAAATACAACACCATGAAAGAAGTGGTAACCTGGACTTCATGAAACATAAAATTTAAAAGATGTCAAGAGAGTTAAAAGACAACTACAGACTGGAAGAAAATATTTGCAAAAGACTTACAGGACAAAGGAGACTGTTATCCAAAACAAGCACTCACAAAAAACCAAACTCTTAAATATAAGAATATAAACAACTCATTTGAAAAATAAGTCAAGGATCTTAAACACACACTTCACCAAAGAAGACATAAAGATGGCAAATAAGCATATAAAAGGATGCTCCACGTCATATGTCATCAGGAAAATGCAAACAATAAGATAAGATTAGGTGCATTCTAGAAGGTATGGCCAGTCACATTCAGGGTGGTATGGCCATAGACAAAAGCAGTAAGTACTAGAATGGCCAAACTCCACAGCTCCTATCACACCAAATGCTGGTGAGGATGTGGAGTAACAAGTACTCTCATTCACCAATGGCGAAAAATACAAAATCAGATAGTCACTTTGGAAGATAGTTTGGTAGCTTCTTATAAAACTGAACATACTTTACTATATAATCCAGCAATCACATTCCTTGGTATTTACCCAAAGGAGTTGAAAATCAATGCTCCCTCTACCCCAAAATACCTTAAATCTCACTCTATGCAGTTGAAAGTAGACATAAAGCAGCCTGGCTTTGCTACTTAGAAATTTCTTCCACTGGATTTCCTAGTTCATCATTTAAATAACACCTTCCATAAAGTCTTAGACACATACAATTCTACAGTTCTTTTCAATTATCTAACAAGATGACCTTTACTTTGGTTTCTATACCTTGGTTCTTAATTTCTATCTAAGACTTCATCAGAACAGCTTTTTCTTCTCCAGATTTCTATCAACATTCTGGTCATGACCACATAAATATTCTCCAAGATGTTCTAAGTTTTCCCTAGTCTTCTCTTCTTCGGAGGCCTCACTAGAATCTCTCAACACTTT